AAAATCCTGTTCTACAAACCTAAGTAGCGGCTTAACTATATTAGCCTATAAGTCGTCTTACATATAATACGCCTTAGCTCTTGTATATTCTTTCTCTAGTACGTCTTTAGCCGTAGCTTAATACGCTTGTACTAGCTATAGTTAGTACTAGTATTTGTTACTATTCCTTATATAAGCGTTTCTTATAGTTATCTATAGCTGTCTACGTTAACTAAGAGGCTAATTCTATAAGGCCTGACTTTAATAGTTAGCTATAGTATTCCTGTTCTATCCCTTACTAAAGCTGTTGTTACTAGTAAACCTGCCTTATAAGTTGTCTTACTACCTGTTACTATAAGGTAGCTGTTGTATAGGCTATAGCGCCTACGATTACTATAGCTACTACTATAGTTGTTAGGCTTGTAGCTAGTAACTCTATTAAGACAGGTACTAATAAGGCTAAAACAGGCGTTAAGCTTAAGGATATAAGGCGGCTAAAGGCCTAAGGTTATATAGACAAAACAAGGGCTTACCTCTATTATAAGTATTTGTATACTAGCTTATAGGTTATTACTGTACTCTAGTCGTAAAGTTAACTAGGGCTACTATCTTTAAGTCTACTTTCTTATAAAACCTTTTAATTAACGTACTTTTAGTTAGGTATAATACGTAGAGCTAGATCTATAGGTTAAGTATAGTCTATACTAACAGAAGGTTCTAAAACGTTAACTTACTTTCTAGTAAGCGTATAAGACAGAATATACGTATAGAAAAAGCTCTTATTAATTTACTATCTTATAGATTAGCTATTATAAACCTCTTTATATTTAACGCTATACGCGCTATTTCTAGACACTTCTTAAATTAATAGTTAACCTCTTTAAGGATTTTCTTTATACTTATATTAGTTAGGAACTCTCTTTTTAGTTCTGTTAGCTCTACTAAATACTATAATAACGCCTTCTCTTATATATATGTTATCTATATATTACGTACAGCCTTCTCTAAGTACTGTTTTATAAGGTATTAGAGTCTGTCTATATATAAGTATACGTCTATATATATTATATACTTTCCTTACTATATAATCCCTAATTCTATACCTTCTCTATTAAAAGACAGGTTAAATAGTCTTACTACTTTAGCTATTAATTACTAAGTAGTGTTTTCTTTACTCTAGTTATTTGTATTATTACCCTTATTGTTTATACTATTATTTACGTTATTTGTATTATTTAGATTCTTAATCTGTCTACTAAGAAGGCGTACTACTTGTTACGTAATTACTTTTTAATCAGCTTCTAATAGGCCTAGGAAGGCTAGGGTAGCTTCTTTATTTAAGCCTAACACTATGTTCGAACTTAACGCTATATTATTATCTTTGTTAATCCTTAGTAGTAGCTCTCTTAATTAAGCCCGTAAACCTGTTACTAACGCTAATCTTACTACTAATACTAAGCTCTAGTGTTTAATATTAAGCTCTACTACAATATTTATAGTCGTAGTATTAAAATACTTAATAGATTAATATAGTGTTAGCTAATTAATAACTTAGTCGTTAGGGTATGTTGTCGCTAGGTTGTCCTTAATGTCTTAGAAGACGTAATCTATAATCCTTTACGTTAAAGCTAGTACTTGTTTAGTAAATAACTTACTTACTTTAGTAAATTTTTAGAGTTGTTAGGTAAGAGTAATCGTCTCTTTACTAACTATAGTAGGATTTAGAGGATTTAAAGGATTTAATAGATTTGTCTAATACTAGTATATATATAGTAGCGGTTTTAACGTTAACAACTATAATAATCGGTCTAATAATAATTAGGTCTCTTAATAAAATCTGTATAAGATACTATCTCTATAACGCTTGTCTAATGTCTATAACGACTAGTTCTTTATTATAATTTAATAAAGTGTTTAATAAATATATAGGGTTTTAATAAAGTGTAGGCTTTAGAGGACTCTTAGTTAGTAGTGTAGCCGGGCTACTAGTACGACACGTAGTGTTTGTGTTACTAGTGCTTAGACAAATAAAAGAGCTAGTCTAATAAGGTATTACTACTAATTACTATAGTTAATAGGCCGTAAACACTAAGTAAGCGTGTTTTTATAAAAGGGTTAAATAAATTAATTCTCTTGTTATAATGTTCTCTTACTATTTACATGTAGTACTACCGTACCTTCTCTTCCTTATAATATCTGTAATATGCTGTAACAGTTAATATAAGGATCTTAAAGAAAGTAAACTAACGCTCTGTTATGTTAATAAAGCTAAGGATCTTATTATAAGCCTTTCCTTTCTTCTTATAAGAGTAGCCTTATCTAGTGTATATAGCTACATCTATTATAATTATAGTGTAACACTTACTACAGAATCTAATAAGAGTAATCTCTACTATATCTATACTTACCTCTTAGAGTATAATAGTAGGCTAGTGTTTAATAGAGCGTCTAACTAAGCGTAGTAGCTTTAATAGCTTATAGGGCTTATAGAGAACTATAACGCTAAGATCTATATCTATAGGCTTGTCTATAATCTATATACTAGTAGTAATTTCTATAGTCTTTTAGACGTTATTAAAGCCTAAGTACCTTAATCTCTTATACTATAGTTTGATTCCTAGTTTACCTTATTAAAAAGTAGCTAGTAGTACTATAATATAGTAGCTAGGTAAGTCTAACTATAGATATACCCTTATATTATTAACCTTATAGAGTATAAGTATCTCTTCTTCTCTGTCTAGAAGGGCTCTCTTTATAATAGATCTACTATAGTATAGTAGCTTAATACCTAATAAGAGATTAATAAAGAAGGTTAGAATAAACAGAACTTTCTTTAGCTATAGTTTATAATACTAATTACTCTTTACCTTAGCCTTTAGGACGATATTACTATAACCCTCTAGTTAGATTAATCTAGTACCTATTAGAACAAGTTATAACTACTTAGTTACTTTAAAGCTATAAAAGATCGACTTATTATTATATATATAGTAAGTTACTCTTATATCTAGGTACTAGTTCCCTTTTTAAAACTCTTTTTAAGTAGCTAATCTAAGCGCTACCTTTAAAGCCTTAAGGCCTAGCGCGCTATTAATCTAAGGCTACTAATTACCTACTATATAGAGTAATATAGTACTCTTTAAAGACTCCTTTTAGTCCTTTTTTAGACGCTTTTCTAGGAACGTAGTCTAGTAATCGTCTTTATCCTTTATAACGTAGAGCTTACTATAGTAGTAGTACTACTTTCTCTTAAGCTTCTTCTTATCCTTATCCTTGTCTTTACCCTTTCTCTTATTCTTATTATCTAGCTTACTACTATATAGTAATACTAATAAAGGTACTAATCTACTGTCCTTTACCTAGGCTTTGTCCTTAATTTCTATAACTAATATATTAAGTAATAAGGTACTTTTCTTACTACTCTTTTATAGGTTTTAAAGAGATTAGTATCTTTTAGCCTATTAAGGAAAGGCTTTTGTAAGTCGATTAATAAAGATAATAGCGTATAGGTAGTTACTCTTAAGTACTATATCTAGTTATATAGCTCGTTTAAGTTAAGTTATAAAGGTATTAATAAACTTTTCTATATTATTATAATTCTTATATTTAAGTAGCTAGAACTTATCTACTACTTAATACTACTAAGTAAATCCTTTGCCCTTATAGTAATTAGCTAGCTTAGTCTATATAGCCTCTACTAAGTCTACTTTAGCTATAAGATTAAGTACTAGAACTAACAATATGTTCTCTTTAATAACCTAACGTATTATAGCGTTACTAGCTCTTTATTTATTATACTAATCTAGCTCTTCTTTTATTATAGTAGTATTACTATACTTATAAGACTTAAGGACAAGATACTTCTTAGATATAAACCTATTAAGCCTATTAGCTTTAAGTATATCGTATACATCTGTCTTTTAAGTATAGAAGTTACTCTTACCTTATAGCCTCTTACTACTTATAAGTACGGTTAAGTTAGACATTATAGATTAGTCTAGGGTTCTATAATATAGTTATTATCCTTTAAGCTCTATAATCCTGTCTAGAGCTCTATTTAATTAACAGATATACTATAATTAAAAACAGGCTTTTACTATAACAAATCTTACGATAGATTGATTTAAGTTTAGTAGAGGAGATCAAATAGTATTACTACTATATTATACGGGATATTTAATCTATTGTTATATTACTAGAACTAATAAATTAAATTAACTAAGTAAAGTAATTATATAAAGTGCCTTTATAGCTATAGTAAACAACTAGGAATTTTGGCGGGTTGCTAACCCTGATTAGGTTAGACTAGAGTCCTAGTCCCGTAACTAATAACCTTACGTAATAGGCCAGTGGTTTCTTGTAACAATATCTAGGTTAGTTATATAAGTCTATAAAGGCGTCTACGCTAGTAGTAAAGTCTTTATAGATAGCGTAAGTAATTTAGGCTTCTTGTTTAAATACGTTAAGCTAGCTACTAAGGGTAGCTATAGTAGTCTTAGTATACGCTCTTCTACCTTAGTAATTAAGCCTAAGAGAAGGATAGGTATTAAGAACCTTTTACTATTGTTTTAAAGAGCGTTTACTAAAGTTAGTAAGCGTTTCTACTTCTTGTAGTCGCGTGTGATCCGCGTTAATAATACTCTTAGATAAGCGCGATAGGGTAGAATCCGCTATTCTAAGGGCTACGCTAGGCGTACAGGTCTCTAGGAAGTCGGACTTGATTAGAAACGATAAAGATGATTATTTGTAAGCCTGTAAGGGCCTAAATTAAGCGTCCGTAAAGGATACCTTAAATTCGAAAAAGTATGTAAAGGTGATACCAACTGTAGTGTAGTGTCGGGAGTCGGAAGGCTATCGATTATGTGGGGTAAAGGGTCTAGCATGACATCAAGGATCTCGATAGGGAAGCGGAGTTAAGAAAGAGAGTCCGATAGTAATTCCAAGAGACTTGGATGTGACTCGTGGGAATTCTGTTTATTCTAAGTCTAGAAGTGTATACAGTACGGTAAATACATCACTGCTCACAGCTTCGATCTCTCCGCAATCAGCGAGGACGAGTTCGGAAGACTGTCAATACTGTTCCGGTTGATCTGGTCTACGCTCTGGTATCCAGCAACGTTCATCAAGATATCGAAATCCGCGAGTAAGCTCTTCATGACGTGTCTCACCCCAAGCTCGCCCTTGATGCTGAGAGCGAAGACCCACAGTCGGCCCACGAACACGAATTTGGCGCCCAGGGCGAGGGCCTTGAAGACGTCCGCAGCGCCGCGAACGCCGGAGTCGAACATGATGTAGATCTTATCGCCAACGGCTATCTCCGATTAGTACAAGGCTTGTTTTGGGGGGGGCGGAGACGTACCTTCAACGATCTTCTCCAATGCGTCTAAACTCGCAATAGCACCATCTACCTGTCTCCCAGCATGGTTACTAACAACAATCCCATCGATACCCATATCCACGGCCTTCTGCGCATCAGCAACATGCTGGATGCCCTTGACGCAGAATGGTTTTCCTCCACTAATGCGCTTCCAGTTCTCTATTAACCAGGGCATTTTCTCCCAGCTCCAGGCTCGGCCATGCCACACATTATCGATCCACATAGCCCCCGCCTCATTAGGCTGTGTCTTCGGATCAATGCCCGCTTTTTTCAACCTCTTCTGGAAAACCGGGTCAGACAATCCGAGATCGGCACCAATACCATGGTAGAAGGCATAGTTGGAGTGAGCCTCGTCATGGTGTCGCCACGCAAGCTGCCATGTATCGAGCGTGAGGATGCAGGCGGTGAAACCTGAATCGTGCGCTCGCTGCAGCAGCGAGAGGGTCAATTCGTCATCATGTGGCATGTAGAGTTGGAAGAATCGGGGACCATCGCCATTTGCCTTGCCTACGTCTTCAATGGGAGTCGACCCAGCTGTTGAGAGGCAATATGGCAGGTTCAATTCCTCGGCGACCTTGGCAACGGGCAACTCCCCGAGAGGATTGTAGATCTTGTTTATGCCAATGGGCGCAAAGCCGATAGGAGCGCTGACTTTATGGCCAAAGATCTCGGTTTTGGTGTCCCGTTTGTTGGTATCAACGAGCATGCGTGGCACGATGCGGTGCCGATAGAAGGCCTGACGGTTTGCGAGGTGGGTGTATGATTGCCCAGCATTGGAGGATGCGTAGTACCTGTTCAATGGAGTCAGTTGGTGAATGCAAAGTGAGAAGGGCGGGAGAGCTTACCATCCACCAATTGTCAAGCTCTTCTTCGCCAGGTCCTCGAGATCTCCTGGGTCAGTACTGAAAGGAGGGACTTCCCCCGTATTATCCTTCCACAACAGTTCTCTTTGGTAGAGACCCCATTGCGGGGTGTCTCTGGTCTTGATGTTGGGGTTCTTTGGGTCAGACATAGCAGCGAGTTTTGAACTTGGAAGTGTAATTGAGATAGCAGTGGAAGTGCAGAGAAAAGGAGAGCATTTTGGAGAACATATCGATCAATATATACATATCCGGACATGTTTATTATGGAGAATATGGAGATTCAGACCTACCTGGGAATTGCGGATGATATCATGAGCAGAGCTGTTCAGGCAGGGAGTTGCAGTTGCAGGTCGCTGGCCTTTCTGCCGACGACGAAGTGACGTTGAGGTCGGGCGGGGCGGGTCAAGGAACTCGGGAGTCGGGAGTCGGGACATGAATAAGCGGGCCGGACGGGCCGGGCGCCTGATTTATGAGGCGTCCATGAATTACGAGTCGCGAGTCACGAGTCGCGGAGCAACGACGACGTCCCCCAGTTCAGCCTCAACCTTCAGATGCATCTCTCTCGTATATATGTCCATGGAGTTCCTCTCTTTGTCTGTTTCTTTTCCTCTTTTTGAACCCTATCTTGCATTTTTTTCGCTCCAGGGAACACAGCAGAAATGACAAGCGTTTTACGAATCTGGTCCAAGTCAGTCTCATGATTCCTGTTCGTGCGAGTCAAGATTCCTTGCCTGTCTCTCTTTCTTCCTTTTGATTATTCTGCACCTATCCTATGTATTATTTTTATTTCTGTTTCATGCCCATTCTTTGTCAAAAGTTCTTCGTTTCTTCTTTCTTTTCCGTCCACCAATACCCCTGCGCTATAGAGCTGTCAGTGAGGACCCAGAAGCCACCTCCACAGAGCAGGCCCCTTGGCAAAAAAGCTTGGCCGGTCCCCGAATTCCGATTCCAGGCTCAACTCCATTATTAGGGTCGGCAATATCCAAGTAGTGGATGAGAAAAAGAAACTTCTGATTTTTTCCCCATTTGTTTGTACATTGTGCCTGAGGTACAGTGAGGCCAAGAGGCTCGGCAGCGTGACAAGCACCAATCTTAGCTCTCCGCTGATCAACGTGTCTTGTCCCGCCCCGTGCCTTTGCCCTCCGCCCAACAATGCCCTGCCTAAGTAGGAGAATCGTAGTAATCACTTTCCTTGCTCTCATACATTCTGGGCTCGCTTCCTCGTCTTCTCTCCTAATGCGGCAGTACGATCTACTCAAGCGCGACTGTGTGCCATTATGATTCGTTGCCAGGCGCTGTCAGGTACAGTACGGGCAACGGGGTCTTTTCCATGGTTCCACCATGATCAAATATCTAACATTGCAAAACGGGTAGGAGAATCTCTGCAGCGCTTCCCCACTCCAAGGAATCAGATATTTAAGGAACTTCGCCCATATGTCGCAGACGTCCCTGCCGGTCTCCTCTACAGCACTGCCAATCTTTACTGCAGCATTCTTTGATATTAATAGAAGTTGGCCACGAACCTTTCCCATCGCGGCTCAGGTCACCCGCATTCTCAACCATGCGCTTCCAGTCTGTGCTCGCCAGTGCCTCACTGCTGTGCCTGGCGACAGCACATGCGGGGCACAGGAGACGATCCGTTCCGTCGAGCCCTGAAGCGTTAAACCCAAAGCTCACCAACACTATCCCAAACGCTCAAGGAGGACCAACTCTCTACTACAATGGCAGCGGTCCTGTCCCTCCATACGACCGAACCTCCCCGATCCCACCCCCATTACATCCATTGAGGTAGGTGCTTCTCTCACCCTTGGTCGACCAACCTAACCCCTCTTAAAGCAAGCAAGAAATCGAGGACAACATCTTTAACGAGTTAGAAGCCATCGTAAATGGTGATAGTCTCACCACCAAGTGTTCGAAATGCATTGCGGGTACCGAGATCATGCACTTGGCAGCAATTACCCAGCCTGTCGATGTTGTTGTGAACCTCCTAATCAGAGCTTGCGAGGCATTTCCCACAGTCAAAGATAGTATCTCTGCTGCCACTTGCTATGAAGAATACTCTGGAATTGGTGGGACGGGCCCATACTTGGCCCAACTCTTCGCTAAGATGAGTGCTGCTACTGGTGACATGCAGGGCTGGTGTTACTTCCAGTGGGACACTTGCTCTCAACCCCCGACCATTGCCATCGATGAATCGCAGTATTTCAAACCAAAACCAGAAAACAAAACTACCGCTCCCACACCATCGAGTAAGTCTTCATCGTTGTTGGTCACGTGCCAACCCATCTGCCCATGAACGAAAAGAGTGTAGTTCTGACCACCCAACTAGACAAAACAATCAATGTCCTCCATCTGTCAGATTGGCATATTGACCCAAGATATGATATTGGTAGCGAGGGAAACTGCACACAATATCTCTGCTGCCGGCCTTACTCTACCAACACAGACCTATCTACAACCTCAGCCAACGCGTCCATTCCGGCATCTCGATTCGGGTCCCTTTACTGCGACACACCAGCTGATTTGGCCCTGTCAGCATTCTCGACAATGGATCAATTTGTGAAGAGATCCAGCATCAACTTCACCATATTCACAGGAGATATTGTCAGTCACGATCATACTGACCAGTTAAGTCGAGACTATGTCGAGTACGAGGAGAAAATAACATTCGAAACCTTCAAAGCCCAGATGGGTAACAGCCCGATCTACCCCACGCTTGGGAATCATGACTCCCTACCAGAAGCGTATACCTCTCCAAACTCAATCTCCGATGGTGATAGTAACGGCCGCTCTAATCTATTCTCTTGGAACTATGAGCTGCTGGCAAATATGTGGTCGTCTGATGGCTGGATTTCAAGATCAGACGCCTCTTATGCATCAACACACTATGGAGCCTACGCCACGGTTACCTCATCCAACCTGAAGATTATCTCTATCAATACCGATTTCTGGTATACCGCTAATATCTTTAATTATTACAACATGACAAACCCTGATACATCCGGTATCCTTACCTTCCTGGCCGATGAACTTCAAAAATCAGAAGATATCAACCAAAGAGTCTGGATTATCGGACATGTCCTCTCCGGCTATGACGGTTCCAACGCCCTTCCCAACCCGTCCGCATTATTCTACAGTATTGTCCGCCGCTTCTCGCCCTCGACCATCGCCGGGATCTTCTTCGGGCACACGCACCAAGACCAGCTGATGATCTACTACGACTACCTCCCCAACTCCAC